GTAACCAATAAGTACTTGTTAAATGTAACTGAATTTCAAGAAACATTATGTGAAATAAGATGAGATAGTGAAAGGTGTATAATAAGTTCAAGACAAATATGTATTTTGGCAGTTGTGCTGTTCTTATATCATATATCTTGATTGATGGAATGAGAATAGGAAGGAAAAGAATTAACTATCTCACCTCTATAAAAACTGGGAAAACATCCTAGAGAAAAGAGAACAATAATAATAGTTGTATAGTGCCTTAGAGTTTACAAACTATACTCACATTCATTATTTTAGGAGCTCTCTGAAGAGAAAAATCTTCAGAAGATGGAGATAAAAAATATTTCAAAGTTGTGAAAAGGCTCTATTACATCAGGAATTGAAAAATCAGACACTGAAACTACATAAGGCCAATAAGGTAGAAACCGATACAAAAAAAAAAAAAAAATAGTGTAGTTCCAGTGCAAGGCTTTAAACTGGGTGGTAACACTCAATACATAGAATAAAACCAAGACAAGTTAAACAACCAAAATAAACAGTACATGGTTAAAATAATGAAGAGTGTCATTAAAATAAGCATTAAGAACAAACTTCATGGGAATGTATGTTGAACATGAAAAATAAATAAAATCTTCATGTATGCCCTCACTCATTTCTTCATTGGTCACCTGCATTTTCCCAGAGCCTTTCATGGTGCTTTCACCTGTTACGTATCCAAGAATATTCACTGAAGATCTACCATGTTTTATATATGCTAGATATTGTGAAATCAATAATTAGATATGGTCCCTTCCTATAAAGAATTTGGATTCTAGTTGGTAAGGTAAAACAAACAAATATATGTAAATGTTAAACAGCAAAACAAGGCAGAAGGGACCAAAAGAACCACATAAAGAGTAAAAGGTACAACAGCCCAGAGGAAGAGATAACAGCAGAATAATCTGTTCAAGAAAGATTTTGTACAAATAAGGAACATTTGCAATGGAACTTCAAGAATGGGTGGGGTAGGGTGAGATCTGAACAGAGCAAAGAGAACGACATTCAAGGTGGAGATATAGTGGCTAAACAAAGGAATATGGGATTGAGATAATGAAGGTGCTTCAAGGAGACAATTAACAGTCAAGTAGGGCTGTAACGAAAGGTATATGGAAACACAGGGCAGTAAAAGTTAAGCTGAGACTGAAATGGAAAAGGCTTTGAATGCAAGTTTGGAAGTTTGAACATTTTCTGTAAGCAATCCAAAAATAATCAAAGTTTTTGAACAAAAGAGTGACATGATGAATACAATATTTCAGAAATATAAAGCTGGCTTTTGATGTGCGTAATAAATGGTGTACATCTTCATTAAAGATGTGGTTATCTCCATAAAGAGACAAGCATACAAATAAAGCACACTGAATATTCAACAAGGAGAGGCAGACTGGAGCAAAATAAACATCGGAACAGAAGATTAACCGAAGATTTCTTTCTTGGGAGCAAGTAAAGCATAATATCACACAGAACAGAGAGGAAGTTAGGCAAAGGTAAGATTCATAGGGTATGAACAACAGCCCTGTCTTTACTCCTTCCATCATCAACATGTTTGTATGGAATTCAAGTTGCCTAAGCATAGATTGAAATAGTTAACTGTGTCTAATAAGTAACCAGAGAAGCTCCCAAAGTGATACATAAACAGTGATTTTACAAAGTTAAAGAAAATACAGTTTCATTAATGTGCTCAAAAAGTATTTGGAAAATGAAAGCCACATGAATTAATTACACCACTATTTATTCAGGGGGCAACAACAACAACAACAACAACAACAACAACAACAAATCACATCCATGTAGCAATATGAATAAAAGAACCAGAAAAGTGTTTTTGGCCCAAGCTGGAACCATCAGTTCATTTTAATATTAGTATATAACAAAACTAAAAATTAATCTCTTCTGTCATCACCACACACACACACACACACACACACACACACACAGAGTCACCTTATGTTCTTACCTCCCTCTGTTCCTTAAAGATAATTCTCTCTACATTCTCTTAATCCTCTCAAACAATTCCCTAAATCTATCTTCTTCCTTATGTATAAATTTCAGTCTCACCTTACTCACTAATCTTACTCCTTAATTCCACTATAAAACATTAAATATATATGTTATAAATTCCCTGAAGTTACCTTTAATAAAAGTAAGAATTCTTAGTTTACATATAGTGCTTTGTAGTTGACAAAATGTTTTATATACATCACCTCTTAGAACGTTCACAGAAGCAATGCACAGCAGCTATTATCATCCATATGTTATAAGGAAACATTAAATCCAGTGCCACATATTCTTAAGTGATAGAGCTGGGCCTACAGTGCAGGCTTTCTAAGTCCAAGTTCCATATTCTCTTTACTGTCATTCCACTTCATAATGCGCCAGTAGGTATGTTTATTACTCAGAATGTATGTCATGGTTCTGTATTATGTTTAAGTAAATACATTTTTAACAATGTGCCTTTATGCCCAAGTGCTTACAGGGCCATTTAGTAAGAAGACCTAATTATTTTAAGAGGCTCATGATAACAGTTATCACTGGACAAAAAGTGACAAATGAAGTACAATATTTACAAAATTGCTGAGACTATACCCAAAACATTTTTGCCTTGAATTCTGCAATACAACATGCTACAACAAAGACAGTATGGGTGATTTAAGGATGTGTGAGTATCAAAGGGCAGAAATAGGACATTCCTACTCTCTTTAACTATGCTAAGGCCTCAAATACTGATATAGTTCAGAGCATCTTATTACCAGGGAGACGTAAATCAAAAGGAGTTCAGCTAGCAGCAATAAAACAGATTAGTGTCTGGAAGGAATGACTTAAAAGAAAGTTTTAAAAGAATTAAATCCAGGTAGTCTAGATAAAAAACAGCTATGAGGAAACCTGTTTTTGAAGCTAACACCCACAACAAAGACAGAATTTTTTTAAGGTAGATGTCTAAAAAAATGCAAAGAAGAATAATGGTAAATATTTGGAGAATATTTATAAAGAGAAAATTCAGGAGAAATTTGCAGGCAAAACCTACGGGACAGAAGGTCAAAACTACATTCCTAAAGATATTTAATACCAGGTTGGACAAAACAAGAAAAAGATTTCATCTTTTCTGTACATCTGCATTTTTTAAACAAATGTAAAGAAAAGAAAGGGATTCCATATGGAATGATACTGAACTCGTCCATGAAGTGGTGGGAAGACTGAAGATGACCTCTTAGGTCTTTTCCATTTCTGATTTTTTTAATTCTATGAAGTTTGATGAGGCACAGTTTTTTGCCAATTTCTTTTCTCCCCATTATGCCCACTTTCTCCTTTTACAAAGCCAAACAAGTTGTGTCGTTCATTTAAAGCAGATCTCATTGTTCTCAATGAATTGGTAGTACAATCCTACCTACAAGGAGGCAGAAAAAGGCCAATTTCTAAATTTATAATGGTCCTTTTCCTTCCAGCAATTCCTGGGGCTCTTACAAATTTTTCTACAAACTAAAGAGGAAGTAGTTAAAATGGACTGGAAGAAGAGCTGCTTCATCAGGAAAACCATTAATATTCTTTCTTCTTGTGTCTGATCACAGAGCTGACAGTGACCCTGGGAGCTATAAGGCCCTGGGTCAAATTACCATTAGGGTTGCTGCTCAGGATTATCTTTCACCTTTCAGCATTTTATGCAGACTGACAGCAAAATCTACCACAATCCACATTTTTATGTCAATGACTTTTACCTTTGAAAAGATGTAGCCTTAAACACCTACACTCCTTGACAAATATTATAAGTCTTAGTCATGCTTCAAACTCAAGAAGCCTCAGCCTTTGCCCTCTTTATCTATTCCAGCACTTTAAAAAAATGTTCCTCAGCCAACCTTACACAGAACCTTTCCAGAAGTCCCATTTAGTGAAGGCCCCAGAAAATACAAGAGCATTTCCTCAGTTAGCTGACTTATGAGGACAATATGTAACAAAATTCAGTGGGCTCTGAAAACCTGACCCTGAGCTCTTTAAAAATAAAAGTATAGCTTACTTATGAGAAGGAACGATGGGTGAGAGAGAGTCCTCCAAGAATGGACACTAATGCCTCTTCTATCCAATTGTAACAGCGTCAGTGACTGAAGAGACACCAATTCCCATCATGCCTCTTTGAAAGAAAGTATGTCCCTCTACCCAAACAGAATGTTCATAGATATTAACATCAAACCTTCTAAACAAAAAAAATTTAAGACCATTTTTATTTTTTCCCTAGTATAAAAATGTGATTGTTCAGACCTGAAAAGATTGGCCTCTCACACAGGAAAAGGACTTGAAGTTTTCAAAACCCTTCCCACACTTAACTCATCTTATCTTGGCCGGAAAGAAGGCGAGCATTTGTAATCCTATTTTAAAACTGAGGGGGAAAATGCGACTCTGATTAAGCAGTTAAGGAGAACCCACTGCAGAGATTTTCAAACTTTCCTCAAGAAGGGACCAATCTAAAAGGGGATATCCCAGAAAATTTTAGAGTGGGTTTCGAAAAACGCTGAATTCCTCCGTATCCTCCTCCCAGGACGGTAAGAAGGGAATAAAAGGCACTTTCACCTAGAATTTTAGAAATGAAACGTGGTTCTGACCCTTTAGTAATCTATGAACCTGGCTGGATTTTCTCAGGAAACCTGCCGCACACTTCCTCCGCTAGGACTATCCTGCCAGGAGTTTCGGCTATCAGTTCTCGGACTCAGAGACTCTGCCGCCCAGCGAAAGGCCGGCAGCCGGGACGGGACAACCTGACGAGCTGCCTTTGGGTAATCACGTCAGGAGTCCCACACTCCGGCGTCCTCTCGCCCGCAGCTTCCAGCCTTTCAGGAAAGCTTCAACCAGGCTCTCCTCCAAATCCGCCCCCACCCCCCAATATACACACACACAGCGGGTGCTCGCTCCCTCTCTCCAAGCCGCCGACACCGGCACCCCCCACCCCCACCCCGCAATCCCGCAAGAATGAGAGTCAAGTTTCTCACCATCCTCATAGTTTTTGAGATAATAATCCGGGCCCGGGCCCCCGCGGCTTTTTGCCGGGTTCCTCAGATTCTGGAACTGCAGGAAGTCGGTCCTTTTGCCCCCGAAGCGCAGAAAGGCGGGCGAAAGTCCCCGGGCCAGGGTCACCAGGCGCTTGGAGCTGCAGAGTAGAGAAAGAGAGAGGAAAGGATCCCAGGAGAAGGCGAGAGCGCGCGGGGCACGGAGCAAGGCCCTCTTCCCACTCCCTGCGGGCGTCCTGTCCGGGACTAGGAGCTCTGTGCCCATCCTAGCCGGCGGTCGGCGCCGGGCCCCAGCGCTCCGCGGCGCCTCGCGTGCACCCCAGTCCGCCCAGCCCTCGGCCCGGCTCTCAGGGGCTACGCCTCCCGCGTCCAGCCACCCGCAGCGGCCCCCTCCCGCAGACACCTCGACGCTGCTCGCTCAAGGTACTGATTTACAAAGGATTAGAGAATGTTTTTGTTCACTGTGTGTGCATGGGATGAGAGAACGCGTGCCGAAAACACGGGGCCTGGGCGCAGTTGCCCGGTTTCAGCCACTGCCAGAAAAGCGCTCCCGGTGGAGACGCGCAGCGCGCGGACCTCCGGCCTGCGACTGTGGCCAACTTTCTACGCGAAAGCCCGCATCTGCCTCCTCGGCCCCAGTGGCCCCGCAACCTCTGTAGAGAAGATGAAATCTGCCTTTTTTTTCTCTCTGACCAGGCTCGGCGCCTGAGGTCAAGTGGATTCCGACTTTTCTTTTCTTTTTCTTTCTTTCTTTCTTTTTTTTTTTTTTTAATGCCAAGGTTGATTTTCTTTTTCCACCACATGGTAACAACTGCACTGTTTCCCAAATCCCCGGGCAGAGAGATTCCCAGGATAAATCCTTGCCTTTCCGAGGGCACTGCTCCCTTCTCCCCCCTCCCGTATAAGCAATATCTCTTTGGCCCCTGAAAAAATTCAGCCTGATCTCAAGAAAAGTAACATCCTCCTCCCCAACTTTCCCGAGCTGGGTTCATCTTCCCTTCCCATATGGGGCCATTTGGAAGCCCTAGGGAAAGTGAATTTGCCGAAATGTGGACCTGTGAGTCAGGGGGCACTCCAGGAGCACCAGAACAGCATCGTTTACATCTATTTAAGTTCAGGATTTCCATCAATAGGTTTTTTAAAGGCTAAACGCTGCTTCTTTGATAAGGAGTACGGAAGAAGCAATGCAGATGCTGTTAATGCTGAGGGGGTCCGCTGCTTGAGTTCCGGATCTGTAAGTTATTTTTAACGCTTTGCTGGTTCAGGCTCTGAAAATCCAAATCCAAAAAGAAAAGTTAGAAAGTATCATAAAGGAGGTGGATAAGAAAGAGAAAACACACACACACACACACACCACCACCAACAACAAAAAACCCGGAAACCTCTTTTGGAGAGTTTTCAAGAAGAGACGTGGTCACCCCAAGAGGTCCTGCGGCGAAAAGGGTCATTTGGCTCAGGACTCAAGGACCGCGGGGCGGGCGCAGTCACAGCGTCGCGGGGGGCGGCTGCGGATAGAGAGTAGTCAACACGAGTCTGGAAAGAAAATTTCCAACAGCCTTCCATCCGATGCCTGCACAGCCAATTCAAATACGCCCAACCACGGCTTCTTTTCCAAAAAGCTGGCTTCCAGAATCTTCTCTGCAGCAGGCAAGCATTTAGTGCAAACAGGCTGTTTTTGTTTTTTGTTTTTTTTTTTTTTTAATTTAAAAATAAAAGGGGGGAGACCTGGAGGAGTCCGCCTAGCTGGAGAAGTGCAATGCACGTGGGGTGTGCATTTCGGAAAACCCCTGTCGCAACCCACGGTCGGACGAACTCAGAGACGGGCTCTGTTGCACGGAAGGGCTTTCCAGGAGGAAGTTGGGCCGCGCGGAACTGTTCCCGCCCTCCCAGCGCTGCACCCGCAGGAACCAAAACGGCTTCCACAGCAGCGGGAACAACCTTTCAGTCCTCGGGCTAGCTTCCTCCACGTGGAAGGAGCGCTCCACGTGCCGCCTCCCGCTACCTGTCGCGTTCGCAGACACGGCCGAGGCCAGGGAGAGACCCCGAGAGCTGAGGGGCGGGCGCTTCCCAAGAAGCAAAACTCGAATTTCGCAAGGAGTGAAAAATACTCACGGCCCCCGTGCTGAGAAGTGGAAGTGGGCGCGCTCAGGGCTCTTCCGGGGAGCCCACAGCTGAGGATCCAACTTGGAGCCAATTTTTAAAAACTCATCACTTGGATTCGACATTGCAGACGATTTATTTATTTATTTATTTATTTTACACTGCAACTCTGTCCCTGATGGGAAGGGAACGCGGTTGCCTAACTACTAAACAGTAACAACCCGGGGAGAGGGTAAACCCAGTTAGATTCCAAGCCCTAGAGCAAAGGGAAGCACAAACAGCCCGGTTTGCTAATCCGCCAGTGCCGGGTCCAGACCTCTAAAACACCCCTGGAGTATTTCTAGGACCCTTGCCTCTCCCCTTACATACATTATGACCCGAGTAATTTTTTTTTTTTCCTTTAAAGAAAAACCAAACCGTGCAGTTACCGCGGGAGATTCAAGGGGGGGGGGGGGGCCGATTCCGTCAATAAAAAGCGCCTTCCAAAGTCCTGAAGTCTGGAGATGACAGCGGAGGATACAAAAAAAAATTTTTTTTAACTCCATCCAACTTGCCCACCTTTTAAGCCTCCCCTTAAATTCGTTTTCTGTCTGGGAGTGGGAGAGACCTTCCACGAAAATTCCACTTTTATGCAATCCCCATTATAATACTCACAGACAAACGCGCGCTCTCGCGCGCTCTCTCTCACACACACACCACACACACACACACACACACACACACACACACACACACACACACACACCCCATTCCTCTCGGGTCTTTGTTGCTTGAGACCTTTTTTTCGCTTTTGTAACTGCTCTGAACCTCTTGTTTCTTTTTCAGAAGGAGACGGGAAGGCTAATTGTGGATATATGTAAGCACAACATTTTTTCAGTCATAACTGATAAGTTTCTGAAATGCCTTCTGCATTGCAAACATGTGCATCTTAATAGAAAACATTGCTTTTCTCAATCACTAGTTACAGCCACACAGCAAATATTCCAGGAGGATGAAAACCTTTCTTCTCTTTGAGAGATCCGCTTGGTTTGTTTTCTTCTTATTCTTCTTCTTCCCCTTTTGTAGCGGGGTATAGGAAGGGGTTGGGGGATGTTACTAACAAAGCAAAAATGATTCATCGAAGCCCCTGCCTTACCTTAAGAAATCGAGCCAGCCATCATGAATGATGGACGGATCCAGCTGCAGAGAGAGGAAGTTCTCATTGACTGTCCTGACTGAGTTCTTGGTGCTCACATCAAGTAGAATCAGGGTCTTTTCCTTCAAACCTGGAGCTCTGTCTACAGGCAGGGGTCTCCTGTCTCCAGCTTGGGAGGAAAGAGAGAGATGGAGCAACAGAGCCAAGTAGAGAGTCCCCGGGGCTAGGCACGCGGAGGGGCGGGAGTTGCTGGAGGGCATGGCTTCAGGGACGGCACAGAGCAGCCTCATTCAATCGCTCTGATTTAAACCTCTCTCCTTACTGGGTCTTGCTGGTGACTAATTGTCCTTATCTAAAGTGTGTGTCTGTCTGCCTTTTCCCCCCCTCTTTTTCTCTTCCTTCCCCCCTCCTCACTCTCTCGCTTTTTTTTTTTTTTTTTTTTTTTTTTTTCAGTGTTTTGGTGCTGGTGCAGCGAACTCACGCCCCTAGCCAGCCTTCCCAGAGACTCGTGCCAAGAGTACTCGCTCACCAGCACCGCCCCTTTAAGAGATTTCAACTGCAGACATTTTTAACTTTTTAAAGGTAAAGGGAGGAGGGGGGAGGCGGGAAGAAGGAGGAAGGGGTTGTGGTGTGCCCTCCTGATTTAACCCTCTAGGGTCATAAGCGAAGGCAGGGATCCAAACGGTACTGTTGTAACGTCTCGGGTACAGGGAGGGACGTCTTGTTTTTACTTCCCTCCCTGCGTGGCTCTAGGGAGGGCGGTTCAAGCTCCGACCCCGGCAGGAAAGCCCCAGAGCCAACCACCGGCGCGCTGGGGTAAAGGATTCGCACCGACCGCGCGCCTGTTTGTCCAGACAGCATAAGGCATATCGTCCGCTCGGGGCCCTTCTCTTTGGGTTGAAGCAGCATTATTAGCCAGGGTGGTTAAATTGCAGAGGGTCTTGCGGAGGCGACTGTGATTCCTGCCAGAGCACAGAGGGAGTTTCTGTAAACAGGAGCTCCGACTTCTGCGACTCGATGGGCAGCCACACAGAAGCATCTTCTGACCTCGGTAGGGCAAAGGGTGGCCAGAAGGAAAACACAGAATGAGCAGTTCTAAGGGCAAAAGGAACCAGTCTGCGCCATGGTTCTGCTCTGCTTTTCGTGCAGCCGAGGCATAGGGGTCTTCAGGACTTAAATATACGCTGGCTTTAGCCAAATCAAAGTGACCTGGACTGTGCTTGTATAGTCAAGACGGCTGTGCGCCCTTGTGTGCCACTGCTTGGCTACTCTATTCCAACTGCACCGGCAGAGGCGTCACTCCTTGAGGTCAATCCTTGGATTTTGCTCTCCTGTAGGGAAGTGCGACTTAACGGTGCCAGAGAGGAACAGAGTGACACTGTTGGGGGTTCGAACTCGGTCCTTAGGCAAAGCCAGAGTTTGCCTGCACGTAGCTCCTGGACGCCGGACACCAGCCTAACCGGGAGGCCCTGGGTGCACCACCCCAGCTCCCACAGCATCTTGCAGATTGAGCTCTGGGTCCCATCCTAAAGCACGGGAAAGAAACCAGGCACAGTTGCTGCACTCACACTGCTGGGCCCTACTTTCAGCTACTTTCTAGAACAAAATGGGCCTTCTACTTGGCAGATGAAGATAACTACTTTATACAGCGTTTGCATACACAGGAGCATCCAGGGCCTCGGTGGTATCTAACAAGCAAAACTCTAGAATGCAGAATAAAAGTTTTCCCAGGAGGGAGGGGGATGCACAAGGGGCAGTCTCAGAGACCAGCCAACACTGTAATAGCAACCGGTCTCCCCTTCCCTCTGCCCAGATCATATTAACAAATCTGAAAAGGGTTGGAGTAGATGACCTTCAACTGTGTCCCCTGAAAAGCCTCTTCCAACCCTAAGCAAGCAGGAAATCCAGCGATTGTGTTGCTTACATGGGAAAGTGCCACAAAGACCTTCTCTAGTAGTAGGACAGCATAAAATGAGGCTAAAGGAGAAAGAAAATCCAAGCCATATCATTTAAAGATGATTTAAAAAACCAAGCTGTTATATACTGAAGTATCAGATATTGGCTCCAGCGCTAAGGCCTGCTTTCTTCAGTTCCTGAAAATTTATAACACACCTATATCCTTTAAAATATGTGGGTGTGGGTGTGTCTGTGTGCAGGTGTGTGGTATACTATAAGTTCCAGTAGAAATTATTTTAATTTTTAAATGTGTACTCAGCACCTCCTAGAGATGGTGACAGGCCAGTGATTTTTGTATCCCCAGAACCTGGCACTTAGAAGGCACTCAATAAATATCTATGAAATAAATTAACAGTAAATCAAATAATGGTCAACACACTGAAATTATATACTGCTCTCAAGAAGAATGTGAAAAAATACCTCTGTTTGTCAGAATAAATTGTTTTTTGGGTCCTGTTTAGTAATTTGTTTTCCCAGTTATTAACATTTTCCTGGCCTCTCCTTCAGGAAATATTTATCTTGCAAAGCCATTAGTTCCTTTGATATATTCAGAATTAAAACAAATTATATATTTTTAACAATGAGCCAGATTTTCCAGGGACTTAAACATCCCTGGCTTGTAAGTGAATGCACTTTCAGAAGTGACATTAATTGGGACCAGTGAAATATCATTTGAATAAATAAATCACCCACTAGAAGTCTGTAATTATCTTCCACCCGTCAACCCCCCTCCCCCCACAGCAGGTACAGGGATTGAATCCCAGACCTTCGTGTTATCAAAGCAACAGTCTAACCAAACTAACTGGCCAGCCTGATGTCTATAATTAATGTTCCTTTCAAAAATACCTACTCCTGTGACTAAGGATGAACTTGGGTATGATAAGAATGTGCTTAATTACAAATTTTCACAATTTTTGCTTTCTGACCCAACTACTCTGCCCAGTTACTTTAACCAGTATTTAATGTCCTCATCAGAATCTGTATGTGGTATTAAAATCAAAACCAACAAAACAACGTGCTCATTTTCTTAATTCCTGATGAAAACCATCTCTCTAGTCTAGCCATTGAAATTCTAGTCATGTTCAGCTTCAGGACATCAGGGGAAAGAAATCAATGCAATAATATTTAAGGAGTTCCAGATAGCCCTGTTTGACTCCGAGATGATCACATTGTTTGGTCCTTTGGTCTAGTTTGGGTACAGATCACCAAAGCTACTCAGCAAATAGCACCACCACCACCACCACCACCACTAAATCATGTTTTTTGTCTTGTCTCTAATCTAGCCCTAAATTACATGCTATAAATAGCTCATTGTTAATCTGGATATTAGATTGATGTTTCTATCCTATCTTCTGTGTGCTGGGTGACAACAATCTGCATTTCTTCTGTCATTTCTGTTCTGTAGTATCTAGGGGACAAGAATTCTGCCTCTATATAAATGAACTCTTAGAAACTAGATGCATTGAGAACTCCTTGGAAATGCTCTGCTTGGCATCTACTGAATGGTCTTTATAGGTAAATTCCTTTGATATCTAGAAGCCTAGGTTCCCAGAAGTGTAAGAAAACTTGAAGATTAACTGATCCCATGACTTTGGGATTTCAAAATAAATATTAGTTAATGGGGAGGAGTAGACATGTTTGCCAACTTTTTGTTTTGTCTAGTAAGGACCTTAAAGAAAACTACCAACTACTTACCACTATTATTTTCCAAAAGAAAAGGACAATTTTAACATTAAAAAAAAAAGCTAAAATGGTATGTCAAAATAAAGAACATGTGTTTAAACTGAGTAAATTTAGTTTTATGAAAAAAATCACTGTATTATTAGGTTATCATTTCATCTCAGCTAAGTGGAAATACATCAGTGACTAACTAGCACTAGTGACTGGGACTACAGGTATATCCTGAGTTTATGGCCAAATTCTGCTTTGTAGCATACAGTGTTGCTGCAAGATGTATGTGCTTTCGAATGATGGTCATCTTGACTACAATGATTTTGTTTGACTTTTCCAATGCCTTTTTCTCACTTTCAGCCTGTCAAAAACTGATTGACTCTATATTCCACCTCCCTTTCCTCTATTAAATATCCAAATCTGAGTTATCTCTATGCCCATTTTCCCCTTCTGAAAGAATTATATCTAGCTGTCTAACAGGAAGAGGAAAAAAAAATACTTGCCACCATAATCAGGACAGGGAATATGAAGATATAGCAGCCAGCCCACTGTCTCATCACTCACTGCTTTTTTACTGGTCTATGATGACTATATGTATAAGGGTACTTTAAAAAGTTCATGGGAAATGGAATTAAAAGATAATACAAATCCTTCCTTGAATTTTTGAGGTCCTCCCCATATTGAGATCTTATGGTCTAAGCATGGTGCTCAGGGCTATACAAATGTTACCTTTTAATCTTCTTGAATAACTCAGAGAGGTAGATGTAATCCCTTATTATACCTAGTTTGCATAGGAGAAAATTAAGACAGATGTTAAGCAACTTTCTCATGGTACACAGCTAATAACTGGCAACACAGAATTGAAACACAGGGCCACCTGACTCCAAAGCCTATGTTTGTATTCTTAATCACCACACTCTGTGGTAAGTGGCTAAAATATTGCATACCCCTCTGCAACTTGTCAATGTACAGTAGAAAAAACCTTGGACAAAGAATTGGAAGACCTCAATTTAAGTCCTGACTTTGCCAGATCTAGATCTGGCTTTGGTAAATTAGCTTGGATAAATTTTTTAACTGTTGTAAGCCTTAGCTGCCTACTTTATAAAATTAATATAATATCCAAGAGTAAAGTGAGAATTGAGTAAGGTTATGTATAGAGAAAGTGCTTTATAAATTCCAAAATATTATACAATTGTGTTATTTGTTTCTTGTTTCTATTCCCTGTCTCCCACACTTGCCGCAAATATACCCCATTAATTAATGACTGGGACAAGAATTAAGTTATATATAAATAATTTAGTGGTAGACTTGAAACAAAAGGTCAACTCTATCTAATATGACATCAATAAATGCAGTAATCAAACAAGTCTAAACCACATATTTTAACCATGCAGGCTCTTTTGCCTGTGATTAGCATCTTAAAAAGGAAGACAAGTTAAGTAGGTTTTACATGCCTTCTACTAGGAGAGGGGAGACAGGAATAGACAAAGGACGGTGCTGGGAAACCCTGGTTACAAAGTGTGTTATATTGCTATTGAAAACTATGTCTCTGTCCTGCCTGGAGAAGCAAGGTATGACAAGACTTTCTATGTATGAAAGGTAAAGAAGAAAGGAATGTATAACTCTGATTTTTCCACCTCATCATATAAGATAACTCCGGCTA